GATGGAGGGGGTACCGCTACCCTGACTCCCTACGAGCGAGGTCCCACGAGCCTCCCTCCGGTTCCGCTTCCTGACAACTACCCAGTGATTCGGCCTATGGCAAAGAGGTAAGTAACTATAGATGTTATCACAACTACTTCATAAGATATGTTGGAAATCATAAGAGAAACTGATAAATTTTCTTAATCACTTGTGCAGGGCCTGGTTGGTTTTGTTAGGTACTCCAGCACGCACCCCCGCGAGCATCCTTGGTGTTTTGTGTAGGAAATGGTACCCCGGCATTGTGCAACTGTCTAAAGAGCCGGTGGTGCGGGAGCCGGCCTCCAACTGGGACAGGTACGCGCTGGTCACGGATGACACTTACCGCAACAAGCAGGAGCGGGTATTGGCGGAGTTTTGGGTAAGTTTCTCTCGCACAACATTGCTTAATACATCTCATTCATTGGTTAAATGTTTTATTAAAATAATGAATGAATACATCGGTTTTGTATGCAGAAATTTTTCAAGGCCGAAGAAGGACTTGAGGCCTAGGCGGATCAGGCGGCTGTCGCACCTTGTAGGAAGTACGTCACCGAGATGCACCACCATGGGCACGTCCAAGCCCACATAGACTACTACAGGTCGGTACTTAAGCAGTCCCTCCCCAAGCCTCAAGCAAGACTGATTATGCCGATCCGGGACCAGTACCTTGAGGTAGGCGAATAACATTCATAATGATTCGTTTTGATATTAAGTAGGTTCAATTTCATCTTCTTATATGTCAAATACTCGATGACTTGTAGGTGATTCCCTGGTGGTGCCGATCGTATCCCGAGTGCTGGGCCATGATCGTGGACAAGTGGTTATCATAGGACTTTGTTGACATGCACGAGAGGTAGCGGGAACAGCGTCTGATGAGGCAAGGTCCAACTCACCATCAGAGCAGCCGCAGCCTCCCTTGGATACAAACAAGCATATGTAAGTGATTTCTTTCATTTATTTTGATGCTCAATTCTGCTTGATTTCTCACCATCTTCCCATCTTTCTCGCAGGAGGCTGCGCACCCGGGTGAGGAGGTCTCGGAGTTCTCTGCGTGGGCTATGTCCCACATGGGCAGGGCGTCATCCTCTCTCTCCTTCGACCCAGCTGCCCCACCCCAGGTGTACTCCGACCCAAACATGTACACTAAAGTCCAAGAGTACACATCCTCGGTAAGGGAGATCTATGGGGAAGATTACAATGTGCGCACTGAGCTCATTGATGTAGAGACGATCATGAGGCTCGGAGGAGGCAAGAAGCACGGGCGGCTGTGGATTGCAGACGGTGCCATCGACTCCACCACTGTTCCCTCCCTCGATGCTATCCGAGCACGGAGCACGAGCTCCAGCCAGCCCATACGCTCACGGCCTTCTCCAGCACTACAGCAGGTCCAGGCACTCTAGGTAATTCCTGTTTTACTCATCGTACGTTGATATTTACACACCTAAATTAGATTTGCATTACTGATACATTGGAGTGAAATATTGTGGGGCCGAGCTGGAAGAAACAAAAAGGCAAAGTCAAGAGCAGAATGTGGAACTGACCGCACAACTGCAGGCCCAGTAGGTCGCATTCGAGGCCGCGCAGAAGCAGATGGCGGAGATGATGGTGATCATGCAAAGTCTTGGGGAAGCATCGGGTGTACATGTGCAGTTTTCAGCTCCTCCACCTCCTACTCCTGCAGCAACTCCTGTAAGTATGAAAGTTCACTTTTCGCTTGTGCTTTGCATGTATGTCGGCCTTCGTGCCGTTGTGGATGTCGGTGTTCGTGCCGTTGTGGATGTCGGCGTTTGTGCCGTTGTGGATGTCAGCGTTCGTGCCATTGTTTCTTGTAGGTTTTGGAAACCTCCCCGTGCAGGGGAGGTGCTGCCGAAATTTTTAATTGAGTCTAATCTTTTTGTATTCCTAAATTACTAGATGCAATCTCTAAGTTCCAAAACTGTTTTCCCGGATTACTCACACATGCAATCTCTGCTCCTTTGTGCAGCCTCCATCCGCGGGTTCCAATCATCCCAGTAGTGCGTCACCGGCTGATCCCGCCTTTCCTTCACCACCGTCTCATAGGCTACCTTGATGAGGACTAGTTCTAGGTGATGTGGTTGGACTTTATTGTAATATTTGTGGTTTATGGTTCTGACTTGTGCTTGGATTTCATGGACTTGTCGTAATAAACATGTGAATGATGATGAACATGTGACTTATCGTTGTAATATATTGTGATTTGTGGTTCACAATTATGGTTGTGATATATTGTGAGAAAATAGATTCTGTGTGATATATATATGTGATGGTTGATATATATATGTATATATATGAAATTCTTGTGTTGATGGAATGCAAAAAAAAAAAAAATTTAAATTTCTGCCTCTTTGCCAAGGGCAATGACCAAGGACCTAGGCAAAGAAGGGTCCTTTGCCGAGGGCCGTCCCATTACCCTCGGCAAAGATTTAAAAAAAAAATTTCTGTAACATTTCTTTGCCGAGGGCCATGGTTGGAGGCCCTCGGCAAAGACTTTTTTTCTAAAAAATATAAAATTTCTTTGCTGAGGGCCTACGGGGAAGCCCTCGGCAAAGATTTTTTTGGAAAAAATCTGCACATTTCTTTGCCGAGGGCCATGGTTGGAGGCCCTCGGCAAAGATTTTTCCAAAAAAAAAATTCTTTGCCGAGGGCCCCCGGAGATGGCCCTCGACAAAGACTCCGTCCCAGGCGCCGGCGCCGTGACGGCTGCTTTTCTTTGCCGAGTGCCGCTCCAGCCCTCGGCAAAGGCTTTGCCGAGTGCCCGATAAAGGGCCCTCGGCAAAGACCCTCTTCACCGACTCAAAATTCCCCGAGAGTTCTTTGCTGAGGGCCGCCCTCGGCAAAGCCTTTATCGAGGGTTAATGGGCCTTTGCCGAGGGCCTCAGGCCCTCGGCAAAGAGGCCGTCTCCAGTAGTGTGCGGAGAGAGAGCGAACAAAAGAGGGAGTGCGGAGGGAGTGGTGGCTCGATAGATAGGCTGTGTCCGTGTGTGTTGTGACCTAGGGTTGGATGGGAGGGATCGGTGGGCCGACTGTGGGCTTGGAGGCCGCACGTGAAAGGTTCATCTTTATTAATTATTTTTATTTCCAAAAAAATATTTTTTTATTTAATTAATTAAGAGTCAATATTCTAATCAAAATAGTACTTATAACTAAAATATTTTTACATGAAATAGACTGTATATATGTTGTTGCATACAAGTACACAAAAATTTGAAAATCATTTACTGTTTTCTATAGTTTAAACAAATTTCTATGTGTTTATATTAAGTTCCAAATAAAAGTACGTGTTTTAAATTTCTGCGTGCTTATATTAAATTTTGGTGCATGATCATTTCATTAATATTTCAAACATTTTTAAGAAAGTGGGACTACATGTTCACAAATAGATACATTTAACAAATATATACTAAAAAAAATTGAACCCAAGTACATTCAACCACATATTCCTAGCTTAGTGGTTTGTTCATGATTTGGAAAAGGTGAATTTGCGATTTTGGGGAGAGGAGACTCTAGGGTTCACTAGTGGGCCAAACAAAAATTTGCGAGCGAGTTGGATAGAGTGGGGCACGCAAGCTCAACGTGGGGCCCATTTTTTTTAGCGATAGACATATTGACGGTATACTTGGCTTTAGCGATAGACAGTTTAACGTTAAATATTAATATCTATAGCCATAGACAATAAATCGCTAAATGAAGAATTAGGGACAGATAGTTTGTGAGTTATCTTTAGCGATAGATCATCCATCGATAAATATAATATTTAGCGTCAGATGTCTGACGGTGTGCGGTGTTGTGTTGGTGTAGTGCATTCTGGCACACGTGCACATCTAATTTGTTGAGGTTGAAAGATTCTATCTCATGTTTTATGAATTAATAGATTAATCTTCTATTTGATTTTTTATTTTTTATTAATGGATTATAAAACCTTGGATACCACGGGCACTGCTTTACTGATATTCTATTAATAATATCTAACCGAAGATTATCTAACTATAAAAGTCATCGGTATACTGAACATATATTATTTTATTAATCAACTATGAACTTTAGTACAGGTTTTTTTCTAAAAGAAATTTTTTACCGTAAGTCAAAGTTGTGTGAACGTCACTTAGAGATTTTTTTATGTTATGTTTTATTCTTGAAGAATTTTTTTCCCATACGTCAAAGTTTGTTTTAATCAAGGAGATTTTGGGCTTTTTTGTCTATATTTAATTGTGGAGATGGATATTTTTTTAGAAAAAAAAAGAAATTCTCTCCCGTACGTCCAAGTTGTGTGAAGGTCACTAAGGGTTTTTTTCTGTTACGTTTTTTCCTTGAAGAAATTTTCCCCGTACGTCAAAGTTTGACGAGATTTTGGGCTGTTTTCTGTCTATATTTAATTGCGGAGGTGGATATTTAAAAAAAAAATGAATTCTCTCACGTACGCTCCAAGTTGTGTGAACGTCACTTTGGGACTTTTTCTGTTATACGTTTTTTTTTTTGAAGAATTTTTTCCCCATACGTCTAAGTTTGTTTTATCAAGGAGATTTTGGGATATTTTTTTGTCTATGTTTAATTGAGGAGCTGGATATTAAAAAAACAAAATAGATCTAATCGTTAAGGATAGTTCGATCTTTAGATTAACGGCCAGCTATTTCTGATTAACTTGAGAATTTCTAGCATTTATCTTTTTTCAGCGCTTCTGGTGAGGATTAACGTGGAGGCTCCGTTGGAGTTCAAAATGTCAACGGTGAATTCCCCGTCGGTGGTTACTGCCCCATCCCCGTCCCCGCGGGGGCAAATTTCCCCCGTCCCCGTCCCCGTGAAGGCTCACGGGGAGCACTTCTTCTCCATCCCCGTCCCCGTTCCGGGATTTAATCCCCGCCGGGATCCCATCCCCGTCCCCAGGCCACGACCTCGTCTCCCTCTCGGAGCTGCTACACCACCCGCAAGCGCAGGACCCGCTACGCCGGCTCGGCCCGTCCTCATTCGCGGAGCACCTCCTGGATGACTTCTTCCGCCTCGCGTCGGCTGCGCGCGCGCTGTGCCGGTCCACGCGGGACCTCCCGCGGGTCGTCTCCTCGGTGCGCTTCGTGGCCGCCAAGCCCCGACCTGCCCCGCCCCGCCGACTTCCCCACGGACACGGCTGCCGCCGTCGCGTCGGCCTCCGCGGCGGTGTTCTCCGGGGTGTCCGCGCTCTCCGTCGCCGCCGCCACGGCGCGCGTCAAGGTCGAGGCCACCACGCCGTGCTGGATGCTCTCCCCGGCCTGGTTCAGCAGCGCGTCGTCGTCCGCCACGCTGAGACACATGGTCGTCACCACTAGGACCTCCTCATCCTCGTCCTCCATGCCGCACATTTGGTGGGTCACTGACCTGATGCGATGGATGTCGTGCGCTAAGGTAGGGATTAGGGAGCGGTTCAGCTGCCGCCGCGGCTGGGGGTGACGGGGGAGGGGATTGGAAATTTGGGAGCGAATGGAAACCGGAAAGGATAAGGTTAGAGTTACAAATTGCCTTATATAGTACATAGGAATTGGGCCTTCTCAGATGGGCCTTAAACATTTTGGGTCCCCGCGGTGAACGGGGACGGGGGCATACATACCATCCCTGCCCCCATCATACCCGATGGGGATGATTTTTCCCCATTTAATTTTCCATGAGGTGAAGATTTGTACCATCTCCATCCCCTAATGGGTGAATTTCCCGCGGGGAATCGGGGAATGGGGCCCGTTGACATCTTTAGTTGGAGTCTCTAATTAGTAACAGTAAGAAATTATTTCGCGTACGTCCAAGTTGTGTGAACGTCACTAAGAGATTTTTTATATTACGTTTTATTCTTGAAGATTTTTTCCCCATACGTCAAAGTTTGTTTTACATCAAGGAGATTTTGGGCTGTTTTTTTGTCTATATTTAATTGCGGAGGTGGATAATTTTTTAAAAAATAAAGAAATTCTCTCCCGTACGTCCAAGTTGTGTGAACGTCACTAAGGGACTTTTTCTGTTACGTTTTTTCTTTGAAGAAAAATTTCCCATACGTCAAATTTTGTTTTACATTAAGAGATTTTGGGCTATTTTTTTGTCTATATTTAATTGTGGAGGTGGATATTTAAAAAAAAATGAATTCTCTCACGTACACTCCAAGTTGTGTGAATGTCACTTTGGGGCTTTTTCTGTTATACATTTTTTTCTTGAAGAATTTTTTTCCCGTATGTCAAAGTTTGTTTTATCAACGAGATTTTGGGCAGTTTTTTTGTCTATATTTAATTGAGGAGCTGGATATTTAAAAAAACAAAATAGATCTAATCGTTAAGGATAGTTGGATCTTTTGATTAACGGCCAGATGTTTCCGATTAATATGAGAATTTCTAGCATTTATTTTTTTTTCTAACGCTTCTGGTGAGGATTAACGTCGAGGCTCCATTGGGGCCTCTAATTAGTAATATTAAGATTAAGTTTTTGAGCCTCACAGGCAATTCCAAACACACGGCTAACAAACTCCAGAAAATACTCTAGTGACCAAACAAACCAAATGATCTAACAACTCAACTGGACTGATCCTGAAAAAGTGGTGCTGAGTTCCATAGTGACCGCGCCCAGCGCGCCATGGTGACCGCGCACAGCTTGTGTACGCCCGTCGCATGCACACCTTCTAGCCACGTATGCGCTTCCTCCTCTAATAGGTCTGGCCCACCATAACATCTCTTGCCCCCTCGGGAAACAGCTCGTCCTCGAGCTAGGAGGGATGTGCGCCGCGGAACGCTTCGACCAGCTCCCAAGTCGCCTCGGACGCCGGCATGTTCACCCACTAGACAAGGATGTGCTATGTGCCACGCCGCAGGCTGGCACATAGGACACGCTCCGGTTGCTGCAGAGGTCGCCCGTGTTGAAGAGGCGACAGTGCTGGAACGGACGTCAGAGGAGGGCCACGGAACGGCTTCAACACGCCCGTCGGTGTTTCGAACAAACACCAACTAGTAAATTTATATTTGTTACGCGTTAGGCTCGGATGGTGTACTAAAGGACACAAGATTTATACTGGTTCAGGTTGAATGTCCCTACGTCCAGTTTGCTGCTGCTCGTATTATTAGTACCGAAAAGGGTTCGTAGTCGGGGTACAAACGGTCGACAGAGGGACATGTCCCAAGTCTCTGATGGAAAGGTCGAAAGGATGCCAAGAGCTCGGTTGCTGCTTGGCTGTGTGTTATGTGTGGAATCGATTCGTCCCCTTAGTGGGGTGCCCTGCCGTCCCTTTTATAGACCAAAGGGGAGCAGGGGTTACAATGGGAGAAAGAGGAAAAAACCAAAGGTAGAGAAGGTCCTTCGAAGGTGCCGGGTCTTCCTTTTCCCTTGAGCCTACCCTGCTGTCATGGCAGACCACGCCAGGGATAGCATGCTTTGCTGATCCTGATAGGTCCAGGCTCTGGCTTCGTTTCAGCGAGTGGTCACGTCCCATCCTCCCCCGGCGGATGGTGCGGTGTGTCATGGTGTCGAGCCAAGACTCTGCGGGGAGTAGACGGGGAAGTGACTATACGCCTATTACTATTGATGACGTGAGTTCTCTCTTGGACTATAGTGGTTGTCGTATGCCTGTGTTAGTATCCGCGCCCGAGGGTTGATGGCGGCGCCTACAACACTGTACGACAAAAGTCGGCACCTACAACAATGTTCGGGCTCTGTCAGGTCGGAAAGGGCTTAAAGCGCCCGTCCTATTGTATCCTGACGGTACCTTCCTATAGGCATGCATGGCATGGTCCTTGGTACTACGGTTGACTCGAATGTCTTGTCGTACCCTGTGCTCGTCATTATGAAGGAGTAGGGTGCAGTCGTCGGGCGAGGCGGAGCCAGCCCTCAGCCGTCGGGTGAGGCGAAGCCTTCCCTCAGCCATCATGCATGGCGGAGCCTACCCTTAGCTATTGGGTGAGGCAGAGCCTGCCCTTAGACATCGAGCGAGGAGCCATCGGGCGAGGCAGAGCCTACCCTCAAACGTCGGGCGAGGCGGAGCCAATCTTCAGTCCTTTGGGCAAGAAGTGTAGCTGCGTTCTTGTCTGTTTGGGAGCCTCAATGTTTGATGGTTATTAGTTCCACCTCATGGGTACCCCAGTATCAGGTCCCTAACAGTAGCCCCTGAGCCCCCGGGTGATTCGGATAGAATCACTCGGGGGTGATTTGACTTGCCAGAGGGTGCGCGCAAGCGCACCCGACGGGTGTAGCCCCCGAGCCCCCGGGTGATTCGGGCAGAATCGTCCCGGGGGTATTTTGATTCGCCAGAGGGTGCGCTCACGCGCACACATCGGGTGTAACCCCGAGCCCCTGAGCGATTCGGGCAGAATCGCCCAGGGGGTATTTCGATTCGTCAGAGGTTGCGCGCGAGCGCACCCGCCGGGTGTAGCCCCCGAGCCCTGGGTGACTCGGATAGAAACACCCAGGGGGTAATTTTGGACCCTTTGCGGGTATGGTTGTGAGACTTGGTTTTTGTCAACTGGACAGTTTAAAGGAAACCCTGGTATCCCATTCGTGGGGATTAGTCCAGGGTTAGCCCGGTTGGGACTTGATTGCAGATCGAGGCTCCCTTGAGGCTTGTGCGCCTGAGTTCTGGCCACTCGTGGGCCCATCCCTCATTGGGATGGCTGTCGAGAATGTTGGGCCAGCCTTTGAACTCCTGGGCCTAGGCGGGCTGGAGAAAAGTTTTTTGGCACGTATCCCCTCTATGGAAAAAGAGTCCTGGTCAGCTCGGGAAGGCGAAACGTCCAGCGCAATTTTGGTGGGAAAGGATAGGGATCGCGGGCACATATCCCATAATGTGACGTGGTGGTGTATCGTGGCAGGCTCGGAGACCTAGGTGGGCGGATGCTCTTCTTGCATCCATCGCCCCTATAAAACTAAGGGGTTCACCCCTAGGGTTCCGTACTTTGCCTCATCGCCTTTGCATCTGTAACCTTTGCTGCCAATTGCCTGAGCCCCTTGCACCCACATTGCAGCCGCCGTTAGGCTCGCATCTGCATTGTTGCCGCCATCAAGCTCGCATCCACCCCCTCCCAATCGTTCAATGGAGCCGTGGTGCAGATCTGACATCACCCCTCAGCGCCTGGAGGGCCTCGTTCGCCGTGGCCTTCTTCGCTCGCCGACCACTGCCGAGGAGTGGTGGCTTCTCGGTAATGAGGACGAGTTGTCACCGCCCGAAGGGTATGTCGTGTCCTTCGCTCACTTCCATGAGCGGGGATTCACCATACCTACCTACAAGTTCATTCGGGGGCTATTAGATTACTATAAGGTGGAGTTGCAACACTTTACTCCTAATGGGGTTCAGCACATTGCGGCGTTCATCGCCCTGTGTGAGGCGTTCCTAGGGATTAGTCCCCACTTTGACCTGTGGCGGTATCTCTTCGTCGTCAACCTTTTGAAGAAGCGGGTCGGGAAGCAAGAGCTGAGCCTACCGGTGGGATGTGCCGGCATTCATCTCTGCAACAATTGGTTGAACGAATACCTGTCGATGCATCTGTCGACCTCCAACAAGGGGTGGCATTCGGATTGGTTTTACATCAAGGACAACGTTGCCGCCCCCTTGCCGGCATTCTCCGGGCACATCATCGAAGAGGTCCTAGGGTCGTGGAAGTGGGGTGCCCTGGACAAAGATAAGAAGAGGATCAAGGACCATCTCACCGCCCTCCAAATTCTAAAGGAGAGGGGAGTGAAGGGATCGAGGATCATCGGCGCCTACCTTACATGGAGGGTGGCTCCACTGATGAGCCGCGCGCTTCCCCTGTACTTGATGGGGCCCAAAGCATCGCTCGAAGGGACGACACTTGTCGATGAAGCACTCCCCCCTCCGAAGTGGTGTAGCCCATCAAGGAGGTGATGGAGCCTTCGAAGGACAATGCCGACATTGTCCTTGATTTCATGTATCCGGTGCCGGGGCATCCCCCAATGCGGCCGGAACTGGGGTTCATCGATTTTGTAAGTTCTCTTTCCCCGTGCCTCCTTTTTACTTGAATTCTTGGCCCCTTGATGCTCACCTCGGGATAGTGGGACCATCCAAAGAGACTCATGTTTGTGGATAGCCCGGCTCCGCTGCCAAAGGACCGGCTCATGGCGACGGCGAATCGCATCGTGGCCGAGTGGGATAGGAAGACAAAGGAGCTCAAGAGGAAGAAAATGCTATAGAAGCAGCAAGCCCGGGAGCGAGGAGAGGAGACAGACAGTGATGACAATGAGGAGGAGTATGATGAGGTAGTTGCCGATGTGGAGTGGGATGTCCTGGAGGGTGAGGATTCGCTGATAGGTACCCACTCATCCATGCAAGGACCCTTCCCATTCCATGCGGGGGGAACTGAGTCTGTGAGGCCAACGA